GTACTTAGCCCCATTTTGTTCAATGTTCTTATGAATGCATTATTAAATTTAATACCAGACAACCCAAGCAATCTCTCAATCAGCTATGCTGATGATATTCTTATACATACTAATACTTATCGTGAAATGCAAACCACCCTGAACCATGTATACGCAGCCTGTGAGAACCTCGGTCTTATTATCTCCACTGACAAAACTAAGATGTTCAACAAACAAGCTGGTAGCCGCAAACGCGGCCCCGCCAAGTTCAAGATAGGTAACAACACTATTGACTATGTTTCTTCTTTTAAATATCTTGGTGTCTCCGTCCCTTGTACCCTACCTGCCATACAACAGCTAACCCGCCGATGTACTGACAGACTGAGACCTCTTTGAAGTGTAGCGGGGTACAGCCCGCACTGTGGTGCTAATATTAGAATTGTTAAAACAATGTACCTAGGCTATATAAGATCTCTGATAGATTACCACGCACCAGCCCTGGTCCTTAGTGACGGGAAAGGCGTTGACAAGCTCGAGAAAATGCAAAATAAAGCACCTCAGAAATATCCTAGGATGTCCCATGAGCACTAAAGTACTTAATATGGGGAAAGAACTAGGTATACCCAGTGTTAAAGATAGAATAATTGAAGTCAACCTCATGATTGCGTGGTGGCTTATGCGTGGTGATCCTGATAACATTGTTTCCTTAAAATTGCTAGAATGTATGAACCATGGGACTACTCAGTCTAAATGGATCCAAACTACAGCTACACATATGAAGATGTTTGGACTAGACCACCTGTACAAAGTTGAGACACAACAGCGCTTCCTGCCACCCTGGCGGACAGTTCCTTTTGATATCACAATACCGACGTATCCGCCTAAAAAATTAATTATACAAAGCATTTATCTCCAACACACTGCCAAATTGAGAGCTCTTGAACACATACACACTATACAAACTGATGATAATATCACACAGGCCATCTACATTGATGGATCTCTAAACACCGCCTGTGGGAGGGCTGGAAGTGCTATTGTTGTGACTCAACCTGACGGTAATATAATCGAGAAAGGAGTTAGAATTAACAACTGGGAATCCACTCTACAAACTGAATTAGTTGCCATACTCACAGCTATTAAATTCATTGAAACCACTGTTACTGACAGTCTCATCATCACTGACTCTCCTCCCTCACTACTTGCCCTTGACACCCTCGACTCAAGTTGTCACGCTCTTGTCTCTGAAGCCAGACACAAATATGCGTGCCTTGTTGACCGGGGTGTCAAGGTCAAACTGTTGTGGATCCCCTCTCACATAGGCCTCATAAAACATGATAGAGTTGATGCCCTCGCCAAACTCGCGTCTAACAAAGACACCGTTGAATACAATTTGGGTCTGTCAAAAAGAACCCTTAAAACTGTAATTAGAAAAGAACTTATTGATGAGTTTGACGCAAGTAGACAAGTGCAAACAGGCACAAGTCGATCCATAGTTTACCATGATGAGATGTATCAAGTGAAACATGTATATGGAGCAAGTAACAAGATCACTAGATTACAAGATGTTGTAACCGCTTGATTAAGGTTAGGATATAAGTACCTCTGGCAGTATGTTCCTCAAGCAGATGCAAACAAAACTAAATGTAAAGTGTGTGGCCAGACATATGGCCACACGCTTGAACACTACGTCCTCGACTGTGTGAAGATAGAACCTTTTAGGGACAGGTCCCAGTGCACTGTGTGTGAAATGGCACAACACTTCATCTCTAATAACAAAGTGTGAGGCCAGACATACTGCCTCACACGCCTGTACTCACGCATTTGTGAATAAGTTACCCTTTATCTATAGAACTAAACAAACAATGTAATTGAAATACTATGTAACATTCAGTGCCATAATATCCTGACAACGGGGGTTAATTATTATGACCCGTTGTAAACTCTACTCTGTAATCCTTTTGCGCTACCGCTCACAGGATGAGTGTGGGGTGCACAATAAAGAAGCCGCTGTAAGCGGCAAAATAAAAATCAAATCAGCAACTCATCAGCACCTCCCACGCCTCCACAGTACCCCCCACACCATCCCTCACCTTCCACACCACCCCCCACACCTGCCCAGCACCTCCCACACGCCCCACACCTTCCCAGCACCTCCCTCACCTCCCCAGCACCTCTCCAGCACCTCACACACCATCTCTCACCTCCCCAGTACTCCTCATACCAAATCCCCTCACCTCCCCAGTACTCCTCATACCGTCCCTCACCTCCCCAAACCACTCTCCTTACTGGGCGTCCCTCCCTCCCAGTACTCCTCATACCGTCCTCACTCCCCGGTACTCCTCTGTACCGTCCCTCACCTCCCCAGTACTCCTCCCACACACCATCCCTCACCTCCCAGTGCTCCCCAGCACACTCCCTCACCTCCCCGGTGCTCCCCAGCACCTCCTCACCTCCCCAGTGCTCTGGCACCTCCTCACCTCCCCAGTGCTCCCCAGCTTCCTCCCAGCACCTCCCAGTACTCCTCCCACCATCCTGTCTCTGATCCTCCCCCAGCACCTCCCTCACCTCCCAGTACTCTCTCTCAGCACCCCTCCTCACCTCCCCAGTACTCCTCCACCATCCCTCACCTCCCAGTACTCCCCAGCACCTCCCAGTACTCCACTCACACCATCCCTCACCTCCCCAGTGTCCCCAGCACCTCCCCAGTATACTCATGCACCGTCCCTCACCTCCCCAGTACTCCCCAGCACCTCCCTCACCTCCCAGTGCTCCAAGCATCTCCCCTCACCTCCCCTGTGCTCTCCAGCACCTCCCCTCACCTCCCAGTACTCCTCACACCATCCCTCACCTCCCAGTACTCCCCAGCACCTCCCCAGTACTCCTCACACCATCCCTCATCTCCCCTCCCTCACACCATCCGTCACCTTCCCAGTACTCCCCAGCACCTTCGACATCCCCCACACCTCCCAAGTACCTCCCTCACCTCCCCAGCATATCCCACACCTCCCCAGCATATCCCACACCTCCCCAGCATATCCCACAGCTAACGTAGCCTAAGAGAACTAAATGACATTCAGCGTATTAAAGATGTAAGCCCTTTCCTCATTCAACCTGTACACTTTTTTAATCCTTCCCAGTGACATCCCTCTTCCACATCCTTCCTAGTGACATCCCTCTTCCACATCCTTCCTAGTGACATCCCTCTTCCACATCCTTCCTAGTGACATCCCTCTTCCACATCCTTCCCAAAACTAACTAAGTATCTCGTCATACACATATTAAGAGTAACATGCAACTTTAAATTATGTTTTGTCGTTGTGTTGTTGATCTAAGGATTAATTAGCTCCCTGATGATCTAAAAATTAATCACATAGTCTAGATGATAATGAAGAAAAAAGTGAATTTAAAACCACACAAACAGTCATTAATCAGTGTCATATACACTCATAAACATTCATATACACTAACATTCAACCAACATATACACTCATATACACCCCAATACAACCCCTACATATTATAGATAAAAAATACATCATCAAAGTTGTTTCGAGTCGGCCTTTAAATCATATCAATGTGGGAGAATTTTAAGGCCCCGAGGACGTGTCTCTGGCGCAGCAGCTTGGAGGAGGAAGCATCGATCACCACAAAGCTGTCATGACCGTGAGCCCAGCTGTCTGCTCCGGGCAAGTTTATAACACTGGTTAATGACTTTGTGTGGTTTTAAATTCACTTTTTTCTTCATTATCATCTAGACTAATGTTCAGAGTACCGGATATAATAATGGTTACTGATATAATAGAACAAAGTTGCTATATGTTTTTATTAATAGATATACTTTATATATGTAGAGAGAGAGAGTAGTGATGATAATGGGAACAAAAGAGGTAATGATAATAATACCAAGGAGTAAGTGTAATAATAATAATAATAATAATAATAATAATAATAATAATAATAATAATAATAATAATAATAATAATAATAATAATAATAATAATAGTAATAATAATAATAATAATAATAATAATAATAATAATAATAATAATAATAATAATAATAAAAGCTCAGAAAAGTTTCACCACTACACGCTAAAAGAGAGAGAGAGAGAGAGAGAGAGAGAGAGAGAGAGAGAGAGAGAGAGAGAGAGAGCGAGAGAGAGAGAAAATAGCACACCTGACTGTATAAGTAATTAGTACACCTGGTTGTGACGAATACATTCCGTATAAACTTCTTTGATATGTGTAATGGACCTTCTCACCATTGACACATTTCTAAGGAGACTAAATTGACTGTATAAGTAATTAGTACACCTGGTTGTGACGAATACATTCCGTATAAACTTCTTTGATATGTGTAATGGACCTTCTCACCATTGACACATTTCTAAGGAGACTAAATTTTTGAAGCCTTAAAATAAGAAACATGAACATAATTTTGTCTATATATATGTTGAACAGAGGACGACAAATTACGGTTTATTCAAAATACTTTACGATAATCTTTTAATTAGTGTTATTGATATTATGACGCTACCGGGTGTTTATGACAGTTCAGTAAACACAATCAACTTCAGGGTGAGAGTATTAGTATGAAACTATTAATAAAAATTATATTAACATGAATAACACCTCAATGAAGACTTAATCAAGCAAACAACTCCAAGGTTATGAAGATAAGACTGTTTGTTTGTATCTTAGTTTTCAGATCTAAACACCGTAAATTATGTTGATGTTTTTGTCTTGAACATCAGACACTTGACGATAAAGATGGTCACCACTCTATAAGGTTCAATGTTTACTGTGAGGACGATTTAGTCAAAGATAATTCATCAGATTCACATTAGCGGGGTCAGTGAGGGGTCGGTTGGTGGTGGTGAGAATGTCAACAACACGAGACATCTGCATTCACACCTGTTAGCACCCTCCCCTCCACCTGCTTCTTCCCCTACACCTGCTCCTACACCTGCTTGCCTCCTCACCTGCTGGCCCAACACCTGCCTTATATAAGACTGGTGGGGACGCAGGTGAACTAATTGGTATTCTGTATCTTGCTGTATTCCCACCTGGCGCTGCACATCACCTCCTGTAAGACTGACACGGATACAACTACCTGTTATATCAAGGTAAGGTGAGAGTATTCGCCATAACCCAGGATATATTATCATAAACATAAGAACATAAGAAAATAAGGAGTCTGCAGTAGGCCGGTTGGCCTGTGCATGGCAGCTCCTGTCGAGAGTTACTACCACTCTCTATCATCCATGAATCTATCTTGCCTCCTTTTGAAACTTTCCAGAGTTCCCGCACTTACTACAAAGTTGCTAAGCTTGTTCCACTCGTCCACCACCCTATTTGTGAACCAGTTTCTTCCTATCTCCTCCTAAACCTAAACTTATCCAACGAATCCGTTGCTCCGAGTCCTATCCTGCTCGGATATTATAAGAACTTTATCTATATCCTTTATTGATTCCTTTCAGGTCTTCTAGGGAATGCAAGTTAAGTTTCTTTAACCTATCCTGATATGGAAGGTTTCTAAGTCCCGGAATCATTTTTGTCATTCTTCGCTGCACCGACTCTAGTGAATTTATATCCATTCTATAATAGGAGCACCAGAACTGAACCGCATAATCGAGGTGCGGCCTAACTAGCGCAAGATATAGTTGCAATAAGACCTCTGCACTCTTGTTACTTACACTTCTAGATATAAAACCCAATACTCTATTTGCCTTATTTCGAACATTAACGCACTGTTTTCTAGGCCGCAGGTCCGGGCTTACAAGTACCCCTAGGTCTCTTTCACAAGTCGACTTCTCTAGGTTGATGTTGTTAAGGCTGTATACATTATAAGTATTTGTTCTTCCAATATTAAGTACGCTGCACTTGCTGGTGTTGAATTTCATTTGCCATTTTTCAGACCACCCCTGCAGTTTATTTAATCCTCCTGTAATGCATTTGCATCCTGCCCTGAATTAATTTGCCGCCCTATTTTGGTGTCATCCGCAAACTTGCTTATGTCACTGCTGATCCCAGTATCTAAATCGTTTATGTAGATTATGAACAAGAGTGGGCCTAGTACTGACCCCTGGGGAACCCCACTGGTTACACGGCCCCACCCAGATTTAACACCATCTACGCTGACCCTCTGCGTTCTATCGGTGAGCCATGATTTTATCCAATTTAAAACTTTCCCCTCGATACCATGAGCCTTAATTTTTCTCAGAAGCCTCTGATGGGGTACTCTGTCAAATGCTTTGCTAAAGTCTAAATAAATAACATCGTAATTTTCGTCATTATCTACTACCTCGAAGACTTTCCTAAAAAACGTTAGCAGATTTGTTAGACAAGATTTTCCCTTTGTAAACCCATGTTGAGAGTCGTAGATTAATTTGCTTTTCTCTAGATGCGATCGGATGCTATCTGCTATAATTGATTCAAGAAATTTCCCCACTACTGACGTCAAACTGATAGTCTGATGTCAGGTGGTGGTAATCTTGTTATGTTTAGGTGAGCCACGTTCTTAGTCTGTAGGGAGAGCTTCAGTCATCTGCTTACCTGAGACTCTCACACGACAGTACCTGAGATGTGACCGAGAACTGCCGTGTTGTTAATGAATGCTAGTCCTCAACAGAGTAATTGACATTAATCTATATAACTATTTTTGTCTCGGCATTTACGTCTCCAGATCTGGCAGTGGAGGAATTAGTGGGAAATATGATGACTCTGCGGATATTGTTTTTCCTAATGACGGCGGTGATGACGATGACTATCTGTGTTGATCCTGGCGATACCAACACCACGGCGGCCGATGACACCAGCACCACGGCGGCCGATGACATCAGCACCACGGCGACCAATGACACCAGCACCACGGCGGCCGATGACACCTTCCCCCGTGAACCTACTCCATCACCAGGTAAATGCCAGCCTCTGTGTTGCTTGGATCGCCGTTACCGCAACTGTCTGGACCTACAGACGACGGGTGGTGTGGCGGTGAGCGGTGTCTACATAGTCTACCCCTACAACACCTCCCCTGAGCGTCCCGTCAACGTGTGGTGCGACATGACGACTGATGGAGGTGGCTGGACCGTCATCCAGCGCCGCGATGATTATCCCTTACAAGAGAATTTTTACCGCAGATGGATAGAGTACGCCCTCGGCTTCGGTGACCTACAGCGTGAACACTGGCTCGGTCTGGACCACATCCACGCACTTACGGATCAAACTGTTTACGAACTCCGCGTCGACTTGGCTGACTTTTCTGGTAACAGGCGCTCAGCAAAGTACAGCCTGTTCTATGTGCATAACAGAGACGCTTTCTACTTACTGGAGGTCGACGGATACTCGGGAACCGCTGGCGACTCTTTGTCTCCCCATAATGGAAGGAAGTTTTCTGCTCGAGACAAAGACTTGGACGGCTATGGAGCAGCCTCGTGTGCACAGAGGTGAGGTTTATAAGTTTTATGCAGATTATCATGTGTGTGTGTGTGTGTTAGTGCACGCCTTAATAAATATCACTCATGTTATTACTACAGGAGTAAACTGTAACACTGCAGGTACTGTAGAGTAATAATTATTATTATCGTTATTTCTGCTCCGTTTAGTTTCAGTTGTAATACATGTCTGAAGATCTTGGAGAGTAACAATAAAGACAGTACTTTCGAAATGAACTAACAACTTATTTCACTCAGGTACTCCGGCGCCTGGTGGTACGCTGCTTGCCACGCCAGTAACCTGAACGGGAAGTACCTGGCAGGGAACCATACATCTTATGCTGACGGTGTTAACTGGAGGACCTGGCTCGGCTACCACTACTCCCTGAAGAAGACTGTCATGATGATCAGACCAGTCCGGCCTTCTCGTGTTCCCTCAACCCCATCCTCCCAGCCAACATCCACCACATAGCCTCCAGAAATATTAACCATGCGTTTCCACTAAGGACCTACTCCCTGCTGGCTTATATGATCTTGACTGTACTATTGAATTTTGTCTTACTGTAACTGTAAGCTATCCATGCTGTAATACGGTGACACACGCTTGAGTTATGTGTCACTTCTCAGTTGAATTATGTTATGTGTACCTCCCCTAGTCCACACACACACACACACACACACACACACACACACACACACACACACACACACACACACACACACACCATTACCCCCCTTAGTTAAGTCACTCAACACTCCCTAAGGTAACTGCCGGTTCTCACAAGATTCTATAAAGTGTTTTCATGACGACCAATACTTTAGATATTATTACAAGAATCACTGTGTCGAGTCTTACATCTTTCTTGGCACCAAATTTGTTCCTAATAAAAAATTTTAAAATATTTTTCGACTGATTCGGATTTTTCTCTGCTTTTGCTTGTGAATAATTTATATGATTACAGTGAAATCTCTATTTAACGGACTATGGAGAGGACACTCCGTTATGTCGAGGGTCTGTTAGATGTGAAACCTCCATCTAACGGATTATATGGAGAGAGAAGTCCGCTATTGGAGGTTTCACTTACAGAAAATGTAATTAGAATTTTATTCAAGGTAATAATTTAAATTGTAAATGAAAATATGGTTTTCATCCTCTTATAATTATACCATTAATTAAAAAACGATATAGAAATAAAGAAACTATGATACACGAAGCGCTTGGGAACCTAACCTAACCTAACCTAACCTAACCTAACCTAACCTAACCTAACCTAACCTAACCTATGTCATCAAGTGCAGTAATTAGGACGCCGTTGTTATAAGGCTGTCAGGTATGTTTGTCTCCATTACCTATAGAGTGTAGAATGGCTGAGGCAGGTGTGGGGTGGCTGAGGCAGGTGTGGGGTGGCTGAGGCAGGTGTGGGGTGACTGAGGCAGGTGTGGGGTGGCTGAGGCAGGTGGGGTGGCTGAGGCATGTGTGGGGTGGCTGGAGGCAGGTGTGGGGTGACTGAGGCAGGTGTGGGTGGCTGAGGCAGGTGTGGGGTGGCTGAGGCATGTGTGGGGTGGCTGAGGCAGGTGTGGGAGCTGAGGCAGGTGTGGGGTGGCAGGTGTGGGGTGGCAGGTGTGGGGTGGCTGAGGCAGGTGTGGGGTGGCTGAGGCAGGTGTGGGTGGCTGGGGCAGGTGTGGGGTGGCTGGGGCATGTGTGGGGTGGCTGAGGCAGGTGTGGGGTGGCTGAGGCAGGTGTGTGGGGGTGGGCTGAGGCAGGTGTGGGGTGGCTCAGAGTGTGGGTGGCTGAGGCATGTGCTGAGGCAGGTGTGGGGTGGCTGAGGCAGGTGTGGGGTGGCTGAGGCAGGTGTGGGGTGGCTGAGGCAGGTGTGGGGTGACTGAGGCAGGTGTGGGGTGGCTGAGGCAGGTGTGGGGTAGCTGAGTCAGGTGTACTGTAGGTTGACTTAGGCGTTCTCATTACAAGGTAAAACTCATTTCGAATTAAAAAAAACATTTGTATCATACCAGTGTTAATTACAGGTGTACGTAAATTAGTTTTTGTTCGCAGGATTTTAATGATGGAGTTGCTTAGGTGTTACTAAGAGTCAAGGATGATCTAGAGATAAAAGCTATAGGCATACTGTAATATATAACTTTGTAATATCACATATATCGATATTATATAAAGATTTACAGTATATAAATATATGAACAAATTCCTTCATTGAAAAAATTTAAAATTACTGAAATAAATGAGAATAATGAAAAAAATATAATGAATGAAATATATGAGAATAATGCAAAAAATATAATGAATGAAGTAAATGAGAATAATGAAAACAAGGATAATTTTCAGCTGTAAAGTCTAATTAATTTTCCACATACACTTCACGGAGTACTGTTGCTCTTTCACTTATTTCACCCTAACATCAAAACCCATCGAGGCACAAAGCGGGCGAGAGGAAGGTACACACTTATGGGGACGTGGGGGGACTAAAGGAGCGTGGTGGGCGTGGGGGGTGGGGGCGTGGGGGTTGGGGTTGGGAGGGGGCCATGGCAGTGGGGGGTGCGAGGTTGGGGTTGGAAGGGGGGTTGGGAGGGCCGTGGCAGTGGGGGTGTGGAGAATGGGGTTGGGAGGGGGTTGGGAGGGCCGTGGCGTGGGGGGTGCGTGGGGGTTAGTTGGGAGGGGGCCGTGGCAGTGGGGGTGTGTGGGGTTGGGGTTGGGGAGGGGTTGGGAGAGGGGACCGTGGCAATTGGAGGGGGGTTGGGCGTGGGGAGCGTGGGGGGGGAAGGGGGCGTGGTATGTTCTTTTTTCCACCTTATTATAGAATTTTGTTGGCAGTAATTAGCTCATAAATTGACATAACAGCCGAGGCATAATTACAAGTGCCACCTGGACTCCCGCTTCCAGGTAAGTTTCGGGAGGTAGTCGGTTGTCGGCAGGTACACGGTGGATGAGACAGGTGTGATAATGAAATTGGTGTGAGGTTGTAGTCTCTCTCTCTCTCTCTCTCTCTGCTACCTTCCGTTCTTTTCATTCTCCCTCTCTTTCTCTGTCTCTCTTTATACCTATCTATTCCCTCTATCTATTTCCCTATAGTCATGTCTGTATTTATTTTAACTTTGCATCTATTCTCTCTATCCATCTCTATTTTCTATCATTCTCTTTATCTCTATTTCTCTTTGGGTGTTTGTTTTAGTGCCTCTGTCTCTTACTGTCTGTCTCTTAATCTCTCGTTTTTACAGGAAGTGAAGAAGTATTACAAAAGAGAAAGGATTTGTGTAAAGGGCCGCGAGTGTTTAAACGTTTATACAATAGCTGACTTTTGTTTAGGTGTACAAACGTTTATTGAATTATTGTGTTTATGTCTACAGTTCAAACCTTTATGGAATATTATTTTCATATTTGAGTTTCAAACGTTTTATAAAGTGTTTTCTCGCGATGTATTTCTCAAACGTTTATTGGGTATTTTCTTACATTGTTACAACGTTAATTGAACCTGGCATTTGTGTTGTTCTGTCTAAAACGTTTATGCAATGATTTGTTTACGCTCAATGAATACAAATATGACTAAATAGCCTGTTCTTAGGTTCATAAGATAGTGTTCATCATGGAACAACCTTATTGCTTTTACATAATTTTTTTATATTCTAAATCGATTATTATTATTATTATTATTATTATTATCATCATCATCATATTAATTTTCCGTCAGCTGTGTGGTTCAGTGTCCCATAATATTCACTGTCCCATATGGTTCACTGTCCCATATGGTTCAGTGTCCCAGCAAGTACGACATGGCAACACGTAACAACACACGTAAGGGTGTTTACTGGCGGGCCCCGGCGGGTCTGGCGGCAGTAAAGTTCATCATGTCTCTCCAGGTGAGTCAAAGGTCGACCAGGGAATCAAACTTGGACCAAACGAGGTTATAAGTCAAGGGAACTTTGCATGAATAAGTTAGAGGCAAGAGTCAGGCTTGGGAGCATCTCGTTGTGTCCGTCTTGTCAAGTCGCCTCTCGCCTTCCTCCACTGTATTGCCATCCTCTTATAAATGGCTAAAGTTTATATTATACCAGACGCGAGATGTTTCTGGCCAGTTTATATACTTTCTCTCACCTCTTAAACAACCGACTGTTAGGTGCCAGAGAAGAATATTGGCACTGTTATGACTCAGCCTGCACACTTCTTCACAAGTTAGGGGGGGGAAAGTTTGTCTTCAGAAAACAATGTAAGTGAAGGCTACGTGTTGGACAGCTTTTCACAAAACACTTTAGTTTGTATCGTTCAAGATTCTTCCACCGCTGGGCATTGTATCTCGTCTGTCTGTGTGTACCTTCTGTCGCAACATCTTAACTATTCTTTTTTTTTTTTTACGGGCATCAGACCACCCGGGCACAGGTCACTGACCCACATCGGGGCCTGGCGGGGGGCAAAATATACTAATACTAATACTACTACTACTACTACTAATAATAATAATAATAATAATAATTATAATAATAGTAATAAATTAAAAAATTAAAAAAAAAGATGAAAATTGAGAAACAATATATGTATGTTGTGTTGTCAATGGTAAGAGAAACAATTGAGACCCTGCAATTGTGTGTAAATGAGGCAGAAAGTCAGATCAGCAACCTGGGACTTGGTCACAATTTTTGTGGTGCCATATGGCAGCAGGGTCTACCAAAACAATATTATATACAATATGACGCAAGAGAGAAGGAGAGAGTGGGAGATATATATTCCTGGCCAGAGAGAGAGATGAGCAGGTCTTGTTTAAGGATACATTATCTGTCAGGTGTGTAAGTGTGACAGTCAGCAGCCAAGTACAGGTAAGACAGACGTGAGGTTCCCTATCTCATCCAGCCTCTCTCACCCCAACCACTGCGGAAGCCCTACTAGGGTAGAGACGTGAGACAGGCTCTCTCTCTCTCTCCCTTAGGTGGCCACGCTGGGGTAGGTCATCTCAGTAGAGACCTGGGAGGGCGACCTTCCTCAGATTACCTCGTGACAGCTCATTAGGTGGCGCAGCGGTGCTCTCAGGACCTGTTCTGCGAGCACCAATCGCATCAGCCCTGCCAACCACCACTAACACTACCACCATTACTACCAACACAGCCGTCGCCAACGTAGCCGTCGCCGCCGCCGCCGCCGCCGCCGCCTCCCTCGCCGCTGCCCCTGCCGCCTCCGCCGCTGCCACCACCACCGCCACCCCTACCACAACCACCCCTATCACAACGACCACCTCCACTACCACCTCCCTATCCCTCGTCTCCCACACTATCGCTGAGTATTGAGTCTTCTGTCAGCTCCACACAGGCTTGGTATGATGGTGTGGTGAGTGAGGTGTAGGCCCGCGATAAATTACTTGTGTAATGACCGTAGTCGAGTTCATTAAGAGTTCTCCAAAACTAAACACCGTTACAAGTGACGCATCTGGGGTGTATATATGTATGTGTGAGTGTATATCCGTGTGTATAATGTATATGTATAATTCGGGTCTGGATGTTCGGCAGTATCTGTGTTGTTGTGGAGTTCGTCCTTCATTGTCGGTTTGGTTAGTGAGGTAAACTGTTAAAGTAGATGGTTATAATCTTATATATATAAATAAATAAAAAAAACACCCATTAATTAACAAGACACACTTTTATTACCAACAAAATACCTCTGTACTTAGAGTGTTTTTTTCTATGATGAGAGTAAAAAAAAATCCTTTGAACACACAGGTTTTTCCTCACTCATGCCATAGTAATTAGACTAAAGCGTATTTTTGGCTTGAGAAATAATAACCATGGTCTAACTACAACAGTTCTACCAACACGTAGTTTTAGTTTGGATAATGAATAATACTTTCTATTTGTACTTTCCCATCTGCTCTCGGTGGACGTTTGACAGCAAAAGTATAACAAAAATATTAAATAAATAAATAAATTAAAAAGTAAAAAGTACAAAAAATAAAAGTACAAACAACTAAAGTGTAAAAATAAATGAAAGTGAAAAAGTAAAACAGTTGGAAAAAAAGATAAAAAAAATACAAAAAGTGAAAAAAAAAAGAGTTAAAAAAGTTTTAAAAAAATATTTAAAAAAGCTCCATTAGTTAATCCCTAAAGCAGCCTTTGTCACTTTCCCTCCCCGGTGATGGTGGTTCTCACACACGCCAGTTTCCCCAAGGAGTTAAAAGCAAAACGGAAATATTGTCTTCAGAATTCTCAACATTTT